CCGGTGGGGTCGCTACACACACGGGATGGAAAGGATTGTCCAATACGGAGGATTTGGACCAAATCGCACAACTTTGCTGTCATGTACAGGAAGGTCATGTGACCAAAACCATAAGAATGGCGGATTGGTCTAGCCTGGACCGCGTATGTGAGGTCAATGTGACCCAATGCGTCCTCCGCCATGTCACACACATGCAGGGAAGAAGGGGAGGAGATTGCTTATTTAGGGCTCATGTACATGGGTGATGGATCGATCCCCGGTATATAGATACATTGTATACACTGACATCAGACGGCGGAGTGATCCCCGGTATATAGATACATTGTATACACTGACATCTGACGGCGGAGTGATCTCCGGTATATAGATACATTGTATACACTGACATCAGACGGCGGAGTGATCTCCGGTATATAGATACATTGTATACACTGACATCAGACGGCGGAGTGATCCCCGGTATATAGATACATTGTATACACTGTGGCCATGCTGCAATCTCAGTATTGTCGCAGTAACACAAACCTGACTTTGTTCTCTTCCAGCAAGCAGCGTTTCAGCCTGCGGCCTGAGTGACTGACATTGCGGAGACGTACCCCGGCTGGCGTCCCGGCAACGGCTGGAATTGTGTCCATAGCGATAGAAGGCGGTCCTATGTATATAGATGGCGGATCTGATTGGACTCGCTGGTTGAGAGAACGCGGAGGAGGGGAACACAAATGTGGTGTCTTCCTTGTAGAGCATAAGGAGATGTCAGGTCTTCCAATGACGGACTGTTACACAGTGCACCAAAGACTTTGGAAACGTAGAATTTATTTTGGAACGTTAAAGATTTGATGTCATTTATAAGCTCCTTATTGTTATTTGAACGCAACACAGATGCACAATGGATGGAATCGGCTGATTGGTCGGCTCACCATTAGAGGGCGACGTCCAAGCTTAGTAGAAGCACAGACCTAAAGCACAAAGGCCGCAGAAGGATCCCTATTGATTCCCCTCCGGTCCCCATTCCTTCTCTTATATCTCTCTCCCCTTCTCTTATATCTTTCTCTCCTTCTCTTATATCTCTCTTCCCTTCTCTTATCTCTCTCTGCCCTTCTCTTATATCTCTCTTCCCTTCTCTTATCTCTCTCTGCCCTTCTCTTATATCTCTCTTCCCTTCTCTTATCTCTCTCTGCCCTTCTCTTATATCTCTCTTCCCTTCTCTTATCTCTCTCTGCCCTTCTCTTATATCTCTCTTCCCTTCTCTTATCTCTCTCTGCCCTTCTCTTATATCTCTCTTCCCTTCTCTTATCTCTCTCTGCCCTTCTCTTATATCTCTCTTCCCTTCTCTTATCTCTCTCTGCCCTTCTCTTATATCTCTCTTCCCTTCTCTTATCTCTCTCTGCCCTTCTCTTATATCTCTCTTCCCTTCTCTTATCTCTCTCTGCCCTTCTCTTATATCTCTCTTCCCTTCTCTTATCTCTCTCTGCCCTTCTCTTATATCTCTCTTCCCTTCTCTTATCTCTCTCTGCCCTTCTCTTATATCTCTCTTCCCTTCTCTTATCTCTCTCTGCCCTTCTCTTATATCTCTCTTCCCTTCTCTTATCTCTCTCTGCCCTTCTCTTATATCTCTCTTCCCTTCTCTTATCTCTCTCTGCCCTTCTCTTATATCTCTCTTCCCTTCTCTTATCTCTCTCTGCCCTTCTCTTATATCTCTCTTCCCTTCTCTTATCTCTCTCTGCCCTTCTCTTATATCTCTCTTCCCTTCTCTTATCTCTCTCTGCCCTTCTCTTATATCTCTCTTCCCTTCTCTTATCTCTCTCTGCCCTTCTCTTATATCTCTCTTCCCTTCTCTTATCTCTCTCTGCCCTTCTCTTATATCTCTCTTCCCTTCTCTTATCTCTCTCTGCCCTTCTCTTATATCTCTCTTCCCTTCTCTTATCTCTCTCTGCCCTTCTCTTATATCTCTCTTCCCTTCTCTTATCTCTCTCTGCCCTTCTCTTATATCTCTCTTCCCTTCTCTTATCTCTCTCTGCCCTTCTCTTATATCTCTCTTCCCTTCTCTTATCTCTCTCTGCCCTTCTCTTATATCTCTCTTCCCTTCTCTTATCTCTCTCTGCCCTTCTCTTATATCTCTCTTCCCTTCTCTTATCTCTCTCTGCCCTTCTCTTATATCTCTCTTCCCTTCTCTTATCTCTCTCTGCCCTTCTCTTATATCTCTCTTCCCTTCTCTTATCTCTCTCTGCCCTTCTCTTATATCTCTCTTCCCTTCTCTTATCTCTCTCTGCCCTTCTCTTATATCTCTCTTCCCTTCTCTTATCTCTCTCTGCCCTTCTCTTATATCTCTCTTCCCTTCTCTTATCTCTCTCTGCCCTTCTCTTATATCTCTCTTCCCTTCTCTTATCTCTCTCTGCCCTTCTCTTATATCTCTCTTCCCTTCTCTTATCTCTCTCTGCCCTTCTCTTATATCTCTCTTCCCTTCTCTTATCTCTCTCTGCCCTTCTCTTATATCTCTCTTCCCTTCTCTTATCTCTCTCTGCCCTTCTCTTATATCTCTCTTCCCTTCTCTTATCTCTCTCTGCCCTTCTCTTATATCTCTCTTCCCTTCTCTTATCTCTCTCTGCCCTTCTCTTATATCTCTCTTCCCTTCTCTTATCTCTCTCTGCCCTTCTCTTATATCTCTCTTCCCTTCTCTTATCTCTCTCTGCCCTTCTCTTATATCTCTCTTCCCTTCTCTTATCTCTCTCTGCCCTTCTCTTATATCTCTCTTCCCTTCTCTTATCTCTCTCTGCCCTTCTCTTATATCTCTCTTCCCTTCTCTTATCTCTCTCTGCCCTTCTCTTATATCTCTCTTCCCTTCTCTTATCTCTCTCTGCCCTTCTCTTATATCTCTCTTCCCTTCTC